AAGGAGTGACATCAGGGGAAGTACCGCCCCCCCCCCCCTCCCCCCGGACACGGTTTACCCCACCTTGGCATAATCATGTGACCTTTTAATCCTCCGCAGCTCCCAAAATTAGCAGTTCCATGAGCTGGATCGTGTGGGAGGAGCACACATGTGACCAGATCGACTGTCTTTTTCGAGCGATCGGCTCACGGGTGAGAACACGTCTGTGGCAGAAGCGGCTGCATGCACTAGTTACGAATGGGCAGTAATCAGATAATGTTTGCCTGTAGATCCCCCTACGAACCCTCTGGATGGGAGAGCCCATCAAGCTTTTGGATTTTGCTGGAAAGTTCCTTACATCACTTTCAGGTGAATTTGAAGTTGCTGGTGCATGGTGGCTCATATTATTGACAGAATTATCAGAATTATTAAAGTACTGCAGTAATGCAGTTTATTTTATAATATAATTTGTCACTGGCCATAGTGTGATGGCCTGCGTTTGGTCGTAATGGCTGATTCAATGAAAAAGTTCTGTTAGAAACCTGGTGGTATTAAGCTATATATGATTTGGGTCAAGTCTGGTTTCTCGAGGTGCTAACTGGCTAATCCCATGTGACAGGTGCAGTGGCAGAAACCCCAGGAACCGTCCGTTACGACAGGGAGTCGGACTCGCTGTTGATCAGCTGCAAGGTGAGTCCGACCCGAAAAATTCTTCAAGTAATCATTAGGGTGGTCCTTAAAAATGAAAATGCCAGGGCCTGCGGGCGCAAGGCAAGGAACAACCCAGACTGAGGCACCAACCCATCACAGTGCGCACACACACACACACACACACACCATTCTCACCTATGTAACACCATTTAACCTCAGCATGTTATGTTTAGGGGGGGAAACGTTTAAATAAAAAATAGACCAAGAAAAACACCGTTATTTAAAAAAAACATTCAGGGAGCAACCATGCAATAAGAACTTTTTTTAATATATATATATAAAAAGCCTTCTTTTGTTCTTAGGTCAACTTTAAGTTAATAATTAATACTCATTGATGTCTGTGGATAAATTATATATATTTTCACCCCCCCTTGTTGCGGTGCCCTGAGAACTGGGGGTTAAGATTTGGTCAAGGCCAGGCTCGAACCGGTGACCTTCCGATCAGAGGCAGAGAGTCTTACTCCGCTGAGCCACATGCTGCCCCTCAAGATTCATATATTTTCAAATTTTTACATGGTTTTTCATTTGGTTAAATTTTATGATTTTTTTTTTTTAATTTGCCAAATGTTTAGAAATATGGTAGAGAGCACCCTTGATGTTAAACTGCAAAAAAATTAGATGCTCAACTTCTAGCTACCAATTCAATGAATGACATGAGAGAATGAGTATTACTGACAGCCAGCTTGAATATTTGACCGTAGTGTCAATTTACTGATTGCTGATTACAAATTCCAGTTTTTGTTCTTTGCTTTTTGTTCATTTTTTGCGGGTAAGCAAACATTATTTTTGTTGTAGCTCTTCTGTTTTTAGCAAAGTTTGGCTGAAATTGAATATTTTTTGATAATTTGCAGCTACAGATTGATCTTGTTGAGCAACCTCTAAACATCAATAAAACTACAAAAAATGTTTCCAGGAATAGTTTCTGACAATGTGTCACAAAGGGTTAGTGCATGAAAAACATTTTTAAAAATGCCACTTTAAAATATGACTCATAGCTAAGGACCACCCTAGTAAACATCCTGTGAGGAATAACAATTGTGCTCCATGTTACTTTGGAAATTTTGCACCTGTGCAACCGGCATTGTTGGTTCAACTCGCAGAAGTGAGAGAGGTTTTATTCTGTGTGACAGGATGGCTGGGTGGCATTCAGGGCTGTCATGCTGAAGAAACGACTTTCCGCCTTGGACTTTTACAATGGCTACTTGCACCCGTTCTTCCTGAAGAGGTTTCCTCGCCGGCAGAAGGAGTGCGTCTTTGAGAGCTACAAAACGAAGGACAGCAACACCCCTCTGGGCAGGGAGGACGCACACAAAGTCCAGAATCTGTGACAGTATGGAGAACTTTAGAGTGTCATCTGATACACCTAAGTGGAAGAGTTATGTTTGTCTGTTTTAAGACAAGTGTAGATAAATGGCAGATTATGCCACTGTGTGTCATCATTTAACGGTCCAGTAAACAGTCCACCTGTGAGGTACTGGAAACATGATTTATATTTATTCAGATAATCAACTTTCACATGCATAAAAATTTGTTTTATTTAAATAATTACTAATGTTCTGGATGTTCCTGTACATCAAAAGCAGACACTCTGATGCAGATCTGAGACACCTGACCCAGGTTCCACCTATAACAGTCCCGGAACAACTGTAATCTTTAACAGAATCGGGGGAGGGGTACATTGACTGTACCTCTGTGCTGAGGTCCTCCGTCAGCTGGATGGTCTGACCAGGGGCACATACCACTTGGAGGAAAGAAGAGGTTTTCAGAGTGTTTCAAATTTCACCAAACCTTGGTAATAATAGTTAGAGAAACTGGATCGTTACCTCTTCTGTCATTCCCGCTAATTTTCTGCCTTCGGTGTTAAATGGAGGTTTCAGGTAACCTCTGAAGTGCTTCTTCACCATTTCATGGAAGGTAGCCAAGCAGTCCTAAAGAGAGAATGAATAACCAGCCTGTCCAGTGTCATGCGTTTGGTGCCAATCTGGCGCTGAGCATGCTGGGTAAGCTGTTTCAGAGGCGAGCTGGATACTGCATTCCGTACCAGGCCCTGTTCCCTGCAGATGTATGTGAACCATCTCAGCCCTGCCGCCACATGCGTGATCTCCTCGCTGTAGATCACCTCCAGCGCCCGCACGGAGCCGTCATCGCCCTGCGCGGCGAAGCGGGACGTCGTCTGCGGGTGCACATCCAGACCCCTGAGTGCGGGGAGAGAGGGGGTCCTGAGCGAGCGCGATCACCGCGGCCCGGGACGGAGGCGGGCCGGCGACTCGTACCTCGCCTCGTGAATCATGTTTATAACAGCCAATCTGGCCAGTGGGCTGTGAGAGGTGTCTTTGGCTGACTGCCACAGCCCTGGAAGGCAAAGTAAGGTGAAGGTCACAGCACAGCCCTCAACCTCCTGGGAGTAACGTGCTTCTCAAACGGAGCCCTCGGGGCCTCACTGGCTGTGCTGGCTTTGCTTCCAGAACTGCATGATTAATATACATCACATTATATTCTGACTTCACTGGAGAATTTTGTATGGAAAAGAAAGATATTTTAACTGCAAAACTGAGTCAAACTACGACTTTTAATAAGTAGATTCCCTGATTGCTCAATGCCCTTTTACTTAAATGACATATTTATCACACATTTTTACTATTGTTGAAATTAATCATTTGATTCATAAGATCATTCTAGAACACACCCTACAGAAGCTGTCGCTTGGTGTTTGTTTAGCACCTAGATGATGGTTTCATGATAAACCAATGAAGCTTTGATTGAGAATAATTTGAGCTGCGGACTGGGACAAAATTCAGCACATACTGGTGTTCCTAACCCAGTCTGAGAAGCACTGCAGTGAGTAATAAGCCGTCCTACCATTGTGAACTGGCAAAGCACCAAAGTAGCTGCCCAGCTCTGTAAGGCGCTGCTCCATCAGGTTATAGTGCTGTCGGACAGAAGGAAGTCGCCTAAACACTACAGTTCCCATCAGCCCCTGTGCTCACAGTGAGACTGACATAAGCACTGACCTTAGCCTCGTCTCCAGCCACCTTGACAAAGTCATTGAAGAACTGAAGGGGCAAAGGTTCCCCGGTGCTTAGTCTGAAGTTTGAAAACCTGGCAATCATGTCCCAGGACAGATCAATGGCCCACTGCTCCATGTTGGCCAAGGAGTGCAAAAGGGCAATCCTGCTGGCCTGTCAAAGACAGGGGGGGGGGGTCACAGATACATGTAACTTACTCATCTCCACTGTATTTCATAAATCTTTTGAAAGTCACTGTGTGTTATATTAAGAAAGTCCATCTCCAGCCATTAAAGTGTGTTCAACTGGGTGCTGGACTTTCCCAGTCTATAAACTCTGTACTGAATAAGTGAGTGGAAGATGGATGGATGGTCTTTACCAGTGTGCCGCCTCTGCCACGCTTCATCTTCTTGGGATCCACTACAGTGAGGTTGTCCTTCCTCCACGGTTGCGCTGGGGGGGCTGCTTCGCCCACCTCCGTGATCTTCCCAGAGTTCCACCTCTCCTGCACCTCCTGTGTCAATGTGACCTTCAAGAAAATGTATTCAGGAACAATGAGAGCAACAACCGCTTATTAAATGTTCTTCACGGAGATTGAAGGCCACATTTCAAGAATTAAAAATCCTTAAGCTGCAGAAAATCACATTCATCTGTGTTTTTCTACCTTCTCTTTTGGGTCTGGTGTGCAGAGAATTTTTCTTGCCCAGAAGCAGAGTGAATTTTCTGACGTTGTGGGTATGGGTGCCTCTAGTGGCAGTGTTCCTGAACAACACACCAAGCTTTTCAGAATTTCAAGGTCATGACAAGCGTCTTAGACAGAGGTACATGTATGACAACACTCATGCAGTCAGTCTGACTATTTGCCAGGTTCTTACCTGAGGGAACAGAACTGTCTTCAGGAACTGGGGAAAGCGACAGCATATTTTGAGTGTTTATATAAACTTTTTCTTGGACAACTCTGACCTCATACACTTGGTTCTGTGAACAGCATAAAACCAATATTTCAGTTTCCACTGAAATAAAAGTATAAGGAAGTAATGTCAGGTAAATTCAAAAGAGACCACAGTCAATCAGTTTAAAATCACAGATTAAGCATAGGCCGGCCTTCCGGGGTCTCCAGTGGCAACCGAGCCAATCAGGAGATGTTCACACTGAGAGCCCACCTTTTCTGCACCTACCTGCAGGCCTGTAGAGGAAATCCCCGTTTCCAAACAGAAGTCAAAGTGATGCCAAGGACAAATTAATCCCAGCTTCCCATTCCCCAAATCCTCAATGTCTCCCAGCTCAAGGGGGCCACCTAAGAAATGCCAAAACAGACATATTGTTCTGTCTGTCAGGATGACATATACGGCAACCTGAACTGGGGTTTTTGGGGTCCGAGTGTAATCCCCAGACTTAAACCCAACATGCAGCTCAGTCATAAAATTTGGGGAAACCACTGAAATTTTTATTTCCCATCGTAAAGGGACATATATACTGTGTGTCAGGAGAGGACTGGGATTAAAAACAGGCCCTGGGCTTTGGTCCAGACCGGCTCACATGATCATACACATGATCATTTTTTTCTTTGCAATATTTTCTCTGAAGGGCCAAATCCAAGCTTCATCATGTCAACAGGGGGCATTTTTAATAATGGCTTATTTTCTTGCTCGATGAAAGGTACAATAATAGATGTGTTAGATTTTAGAAATTATTTATTGTTAATTCAAAGAAAGATCTGTGGGCAAAAAAAAAAGCTTGAACATATAACTTAAACGGGATAATAATGCTTTTGCCTAGGTCTGACATATACACACGTATGAAAAAGTATATATGGCAAATTTAACGAGCTACAATTAATTCTATACATTCGAATGGAGTTTATCTTTTAATTCAGTACAACATGTTTTTTTTTAACTTGAAATCTGCTATTCGCATTTGAAGACATTTACGAAGTTACATGGGTAGAGTAACAGGATTTCAGGGTTAAGGACTACAATTCCCATAGACACGGCACGCAATAGGCGTTCATTAAGGTTTTTTTTTTTTAATTTACATTATAATTAAAATAGAAATATAAGCGACAGTGCCCTCAGTCCTAAATTGCCCGATATTGCACGGCATGTAGGTTATGGTAAGAGCATTAGGGAGACTGGGCGAACCGGGCACTGGAAATGTCTGTACCTTCATGGGGGCAGGAGGAGTCCATTGCCCAGAAGCCATCATCTTCCGTCCGCACAAGGACAACGTGCTCCCCATCCTCCGAATACAGCCTCACAGTAAAACACAGTTATTCAGATCATTAGTTAAGCATTAGAAATAATGACACGCCTAATGCGGCAGTGGGTTGCAGATGGCTGCAGGATATCCCGCCCGAAAATGACAGCTGCCGTTTTAAAATGCCAGAGTTTAAGTCTATGTAATATACTGACCAGTTATCTCTGTCCGTAAAGCAGCTTTGTTTTAATCGCCCAGCAATTATACCCGTTTCATTAACGTGCTTAAGGCTCCCAATGCCCTTACTTTGTACACCCAGGCTTGAAGTTGCGTTTCTCCCCTACGCAGCACCAATTCCCATGGCGGACCACGTCTTTAAGGGCGTTTACTAAATCCTCATCGAAACCGTCCATCCTGGAGACCCGGTGATGCAGCTCTGAGCCGATCCGTGAGATACGGTGTAGGCTGCGCGGAGAGAATGCTTACAGCGCCACCTTCTGTGCAGTTTGCTGCCGTACGCGGGCAGACCCCGCATGTGACCCGACGCGGCTGGGTCCAAGAAGCAGCTCCTCTGCCGGGACACAGCGGTTATTGTGAGTAATGAAAAAAAAAACTGTACGATAAGTTGCCAAAAAATGCACATTAATTTTTATTTATATAGTATAGTTTCCCTTTTCTTTCAACTTCGTGTTTATTTTTCTTATGTTGTGATGACAAGTATGTGCATATCCTATGGATCCATCAGCTTACAGTAACTGCTATAATTGAAGTAGTTGACACTGTCACACAGTTCATTTGAGGAAAAAAAATACACAATGCAAATCTGATAGCACTACGGCAATTTATTTTACAGAAAAGGACAGAGACCATACTTTTCCATTGTGCAAAGAATTAGACAAAGGTGCAGACGAAAGGAGAAAACCTGACCTGTTATTGGTTAGTACACCTAGACTATATATACAGATGTATACTATTATAAATATATACATACACAAAATCGGTTAAATACAGCTTAAATTTAATAATGGTCATTTTAATATTTTTTTAAAGAACACAAAAAACAGAATATATTATAACTTAAAGCATGCTTAATGTGTGCATTATTAGGAAGTAGCATAAATTGGATTTTTAAAATGTTTGTACAGACAGGCCATTTCTGTACTGTATGTGCTGATGTGCATTGATTTACCTGCTAATACAGCCAACAAGTGGTAGTGATACATTTCCTACAGTGATGAGATCTCATTGGAGGTGACAGTGTCACATGACACCTCCACTCATCACCCCCCTCAGTCAGTGACAGTCAGGTTCATGATGCCTGTCTTGCTGTGAGATGTGGGTGATGCTTTAGAAGGTCCTCCCTAAAAAATACAGACAAATGATAAACCAAGAAGCCAACCCAGTCCACCAGCTAATTTGTAACTTCCATAGCTACCTGGACAGTATCAAAACCAAGGACAACGAAAACAGTCAATAACTATCGCTTATGTGTTACCAGTGTATCTATCACCGTCTATGATGTGTTGCAGATATCAATGGCAAAGGACTGTTACAAAAGGAGGAAAACACCACGTCCAGTTATTAAAGAGTAAATCTTCTGGTACCAAACGCCAAAAAGATATGTTATGTAAACAGAGAAGCAGCACAGAGCCCAGCTTAAGCATTGCTTGTTTTGCTTGTTCCTGGGAGGTATGAAGCTCAGAGTGGATCCAGCCATTTGGTTAAGAGGGTCAGGCGTCGGGGGGAGATGCAGGGCACGGCGAGTGAGGGACCGTACCTGTGTGGTCACACAGACATGGACTGGAGTGCTGACTCAACGGTGACAGACTCCTTCTAAAATGAAATACAGTGTGAATGGCTTACTTGAGCAGTGAGGTGCGGCTTCCCCTGAGTCAAGTTTATCAGTGCTTGTGCCCAGATGTGGGTAGTTCAGGTCCAGAAAGTAAAAATCCAGACCAAGATTTTGTTTCAACCAACAAGTCGAGCATAAAGAGTCACAGTGACAGAGTAAAAAGCAAAAAACTATCCCCCTCAAGCAGACCTTGTGTTGCTGGAGAGGTTGGCAGGAACGCCTGCAGAGTATTTCACTTGGGTGCCCAACTTACAGACATTCTTAATTGTCTGTGTATTTAATAATAAATTTCAAAACCAATTCTGTTTTCCCTTTTGTACCGAAATTGTAGCGAACCGTGAACTCAAAACCACGGTTCGTACCAAATTGTGAATTATGTGAACCGTTATACCCTTAATATTTAGCATTATTTTGATGTGGGGTGGCAACAAGGGTGGCCACGTTTTTATTAAGGGGGGACCATGTCCCCCCTAACCCCCCCTTAGATCTGCCCCTGCACATTGGCAGATGCTTCCGCTAAAAGGGGAATTACCGCTATTCCAGAGCAGCTGCTGGTGACGGAGTTAGCGCTGAGGTGGCACTGCGGGCTTGCCCGCGGCCTTGATGCACCACCCAGAGTCGTCACGTTGAGGTGTGGCATGTTCTCCTTGTTTCGCTCCAGCAGGCTGACGTGCAGAGGTTTGCCACGCCCTGGCGTCAGCACTGCGGGGCCACGCTGTCAAGGGAAAGCGTCAGTGTGGTTCAGGTACACCATTCGGAGATTTTATTACGACTGTCGCTTATCATGAGTTTAGTGCTGGGCTCCAGAAGAATGGCCTTCTGGAATTGGAACCAATAACCTTCAGGTTACCTTTTAGGATCATTGCTGTCTTTGCTGACAGCTGGAGACCTTCACTAACCTCATGTCTGGCAGCATAGACGGCTGAATGGCATGCTGAGTTACCTTCCGGACCTTTCCAGGGGTCTGCGCTCCTGGGAGCCTCCGCTTGGATGGCGTCCGTGGGGCTGTCCCGTATAACATGTCCTCCTCCATCTGCTTGCTCTTTTTCAGTTGCTGTCATGGAGATAAACAGCACGACCAAAAAAATGCAGTTATGCTACCCTGGCATCTCTAAATTGCCGTGAGTGAGTATTTGTGTTTGTCCTGTGACAGACTGGCATCCCATCCAGGGTGTCCCCCGCCTTGTGGCCCGCAACCCTGTACTGGAGGACCACCACGGCCTTTACCCGCTGCAGCTTCTCCTGCTCCTTCTCTGTCCGGTGCACCTCCCACTGCTCCTCCACGTACTGCAGGAACTTCTGTCCATTGACCAGGAACTCCCGGCCCTCCTCTTTCTCCCAGGCCTCGATCTGAGCCTTCAGCTTCTTCTCCAGCTTCACAGACACAGTTATCTCAGTCAGCGCGGTGCCCGGCGAGGGGCCGACAGAGAGCAACAGGCACACGGGGGCTCCCCCCCCCACCTCACCTTGGGCAGGCTCTTGTGAAGATCAGCTCTTTGCTTCTCTTCTTTGAGAAGGTTTCCACCCCTGTTAGTAAATCTGGATGGATCCGTTGCTTTTCTCTGCAGGAACAGAGTCTAAAATAAATACTTTGATCTTTGAGCAGAATTTAATAATGTGTATGTAGATTATTTTTCCTTCTAACCCTTTGCAATTTTTCATTCATGTTCAACAACTTTCACATTAAAGTTTACCAGAAGTTACCAAGATTGCCCAAGCGTAAACTAACACTTAACCAGACTTACTTCAGACACTAAGCATGAATTAGCTATCACTGTCCCAGAATGAAATGAAAAAATGGCCTCATCATTGCCGTCCTTATAACTGACACATGAACCCACCTCCAGGTCTAAGTAGAGTCTCCAGCTGTCCTCCCACCTTTGAACCCCTTCGAAAAGCTCCTGGTGTTGCTGGTAATGTTGCTTAAGTCGCTGCACCTCACTTTCATGCAGGTTCAACAATTCTTCCGTGAAATCATCTGTGGAAAGTGAACATCCATCTTACTTTCTGCTATCCACCCGTTCTCCATCCTGCTGACCTGGTACAGGGTTACGGGAGGAACAAACCCTTCGAAATGCCTGACCTAACCATAACTTTTTGGACTGAGGGGAAAAAAAAACCCTCTCAAACACAGAGAACTTGCAAACTCTATAGCAAACAAAATAGGGACTGAAACCCATGGCCCAGAAGGCACAATGCTGCCCCCACCTGTTCACCTGGATTAATACACCATGTAGACGCTTTAAATGGACCCCTTACCGTCATAGTACGGCACAAAGGCACGCCGTTGCTCGGTGCTGAGGAAGCATTTCTCCCAGTACAGGGCCACTTCTACCCTCTTGGCTTCGGTTAAGTCCCGGATGCTTTGAAGTCTGAGCACCTCCAGACGCATCACCTCTGCTTGCAGCTTATGGGTCAAAGGAGAAGCACCTCGTTACCAAGTCGTTACAGTCCCCTTGGACACAGGAGGATGTGCTGAGGGTCTGGGGCGGCACGTCTCCTTACAGCATCCATGTTTCTCTTCCTCGACATGATCATGTGGTCCGCCAGCGCCTCCCTGTCCTCCTGGCTGACCTGCAGGGTGTCCCACAGCTCTCGCACCTTTGCCCGGTAAGCGTCACACAGAAGCTCGTTCTCCACCTTCTGTTCCTCAAGCTGGAAAAAAAAGGGCAGGAAAAAAATGAATTAACCAGTAAGTGTGGGCTGCAGGCCTCACGTACGCCTGAGCAAAGGGCAGCATCTGAGTACCTGAGCGAGGAGCAGCTTGAGAGATGAGATGTTCTCCTCTGACAGGCAGAAAGCCTCCTCTTCCTCAGAAATCACCTCCCTCTCGAAACTGGTGTCCGGAAGCCTGTCGAGATCCTCCATCCGTGAGATGATGTCTTTCTTAATGCTGACAAATTCAGCGTGCCTTCGTTCCTGGGGGGGCGAGACAGAACATTAGAAGGAAAATGTTTTTAAATATTATAAAATATACAAAACTTATTCCAGTGAAGCCTGCGAGATCCTGCACACACTGGCCAGCAGCTCAATGATGAAGGAACCAGACCATGTTATATCTCACATACTTTTTAAAAGCAATTTCACTATTTGACCTTTTAAACATATCTCATCTTCATTTGTGCAGATAATTTCCACGCTGATCTCAAACCCGTGCCACAGAGCTCCAAAGCCGCAGAGGGCATTAGGAGGCTACCTTCTCAGCACTGAGGTTGGCGATGTGATGCCGGAAGGTGTCCAGCTGCCCCAGCGAGGGCACGGCCTCGTGGTCGATGCGGTAGGTGTCTGTGCGCAGGATGTCACAGAGGACCTGCTCCTGCAGCAGCAAGGCTCTCAGCTCCTGCATCCTCTGCTGCTTCTGCGTCATGGCTGCTTCTACCTGGGTCCGGATGTCCTTCTCCTGCTGCAGCATGGTGTGGCCCTCCTCCTCCTGAGTGCAGGAGGAACGCAAGTGCTGGGAAAGCGTGGCGTCACTGGGCCATTTAAGGAAGCTTGTTATTTAGGAATTCCTTAGTAGTTCAGGTGTATGAAGATGCAAGCTCGTGTGACTGTTTCCAGTTCAGATACACTCGCACCTCCTGCCATTCGGGACTCACTTTAAACAGAGGCAGCTGAAGTTCCCTGCACAGTGCATCCAGGTCCCTGCGACACGACTCTATGCTGCTCACCAACCGCCCCCTGAGGTCCTCTTCTTCTGCAATCATCATGTCCAGCAAGCCCTGAGGAGAGCACTCCTCTGTTCACTACTGCCTGCTCTGTACAGGGTCCCATATTCTCCATTTTTACTTACTTTTACATGACTCTTTACCACCGCTGTCCTTTGCAGTCGCTGATCCTCTGGTATCCCGATTTCCTCCCAAATATCTTTAAGGCGGCATAAAGCTTTATTCAGACAAGCCACCGACTCAGCAGCCAGCACCTCACTGGGGAGTCACCAAAAACATGAACAAAATTCCAGGTTAACTTAGCCCGATATTAAGAAGAGACCGCTAAGTAACCATTTAAGAGGGGGATTTCTCCACGAACTGAAACTTTCTTTCAGTGTCTTAAAAACAGCACAGCGGCCCAAACGCGATGACCCACTTTGGCTGGTGATCCGGAGAGTTTTAGGGTTTTCCAGCTGCCGCGTACATGAACACTGGCGGACAGCTTACAGCACGCCAGAGCGACCGGAGCGCAGTACAGAAGCACATTTTCACGCATAAACATCCTGACTTGAGCATCACATTGTCAAGAGGCCTTACTGCCCCTAACTGGAAAAGTTATAAAAACATCCAAATTATCAGCCGCTTCCGCAGACGACCCGTATTGATAAGGCCAGCTGATATCTTAATTTTCTTACACTCCACGATGGTAAATTATCATAAAACTAAAAAAATATATTTACTGCCTATATATTATTATTTATCTATCACGGCATTTTACTATCACTATTTATCTACCCCAACACCACGCTACGACTTACCTTTTTCTCATGGTGACACGCCTTAAAAATATCTTGTAATTATAAGCGTCGGTCTGTAATGCCTTGTATTTATCGTTTATTTGAATGATTAATTATTTGTCACGAACACACGGATCATGCTTTATACAGCATAGCCGAAGCCGCGCTCAGTTCTTTGACAGTTCCTCCCTGATTCAATTCAAATCATGCCTCCGGAAGTAGTCTCATTCCTTATTGGCCAGCACCGTCGGCATGTGACCGTAGTCATGACGACAGATATATTTATTTACCTGTCGGCTCTCATACTCCACGCCCCCTTTGTGGACATGGCTACGCCTCCCACGCCGTCATGACACTGCGATTGGCTGGAACGGGAACACCGAGAAGCTCTAACTGAAATAATCCCTGATGTAATCACAGAGGTCCGTCGGCAAAGCAGGCTAAAGCTCTATTTGGTATTTAGTTTGTAAAGTGATTTGTCTGGTCGATTCGGACGGGATAAGAGACGCGTGTCATTTCCCTAAATAACCAGAGATAGCGGAGAAAAAAACGAATCCGTTGATGTTAAGGTCAGAGTTAGCGGGTCTGGAAAGCAAATGACAACAGAATTTTCATTTTTGGGTGCCCTATGCCTCTATTATAGACATACTAATCAAACATAATAAAAACATATCTTTTCCTTTCCTGCATCGACTGAAAACCTGTATGTCTGGTCTTGGAGGGTCAGTTTGCAAATTTCCCTGCTCAAACATCCTCATCGGCTAATTAACAGCTTTAGGAGGTGTGTCTGAGAAGGGAAATCTGCAAACACACCCTCCAGGACCAGAACTGGGTAGGTGGTTGTCAGACGTTTATGTGGGAAAACTCAGTACCCATTCAGGCATAGTTTTTAGCGTATACATGTTTCCGTCTTGCAAAAGCTTTGCCATGCCGTTATGATCCTAATACCGAGATTACTATACTATTACCGAAAGCGATGCGTGTATGCTGAAATACAAAAGGAAATTAGTTACTTAATTTTCACCCCGGAAGCTTGTAAAAATTACAGACATGGCAAATTCGGACTAGATTAAATTTACCTCGTCGGCTGGACATCGTCGGTAATTACCTCAATTGCACTACATCCCCAGGTAAAACTAATCCTGTCCTAATAGTGCTTAAGAAGAGAGAAAAGCTCGAATGTGATTTATGTTCCTGTAAAATGAGAATAAACATTCAAAATTTGTTTGTGAAGACTTTTACTTAATTACATTCAGGAAAGTAACATGTAACAGTTCTATACTGGAAATTAATATGATATGTTTATAAATGGGGATAACAAATTTGGCTGTATTTGCATATGTGGTTATTGTCATTTATGCAAAAGTAATTTAACAAATACATTCATACAGATTGTAGAATCGGAAAATGCAGACACTGTTAAAGCAGCAGGATAGATTAAAACATTTAGTATTATTTGAATAACAGAATGTCGACTTTATCTTTCAGACCCAATCTTGGCAAAATCAGGCATCAGTTTGTTTGTGAGGCCAGTTTAAACAGAAGACAGTCCTCCTTCTGCCGGGTCGCAAACACAAGAAGCACTCTGGGTTTATCCATAGTTGTCCAACATGGCCTCCAGTAGCCTGGCAGCATTTATAATGGCTGTTGTCACCACAATGAATTTATACCCTAAAACAGAATAAAGGCATGGCATTATTGTTACACTTGCCTTCCATCTTTAAATTTCCAGAGACATAACTGATTTGGTATTACAAATGTCGTATAAAAAATACAAAATTTTTCTCTTGAAACCCCTTCAGAAAGGATAGGCCATGTGATTCAGAACTCTGTTCCCTTCTGCTGCAATTCTGATAATTACTAGTTGATAATCTATTAAGTTACTGGATATTTGATCTTGTGTCTTACACATATTTTCTTTTCATTCATTCATTCATTTTCTATACTGCTATCCTGCCTATCCTGGAGACAATGGGCGCATGGCAGGGAATAGCCCAGGACGGGGCTCCAACCAGTCACAGCTCATGCATGTCATTCAATGAAATTTAATTATGGAGTAAAATGTCCGAAAAGACAGGGAGGTCTCAGGATCCTGTCATGCCTCCTGTCAGCCTGCCCACCTTTCTCTTTGCCCAGGAAGCGCAGTGCTGAGATCTCAGAGTAGCTGCAGCCACCCAGGAACATGACCAGTATGATGCGCTGGGAGTCTGTCGTGCGGCCCGTTTCCGATCCGCCACCAGCTAGAGAGTGGGGGATAGAGAGAGAGAGAAAGAGATTGGGAGAAGGAAGGAGGGAGAGCGGGAGAGATCATGAGAGAGAGGGAGAGATCACAAGAAAGAGAGGGAGAGAGAGAGAGGGTGAGACAGGGAGAGGGAGAGATCACAAGAGACAGGAAGATCGAGAAGAGAGAGAGAGTGAGCACCTCTCACTGTCAACATCAAGTATGATTGCCAACATCACTGACGTGATTTCTCTATTTTTTTTATGAGCAAATTATAGGTCAGCACAGACAAAACAAAGATCAGAATAATCACAATTTATTAGTGGGGAAAAAAATCTATAACATGGGAGTAAAATACTATTGTTAATGTGCGTAATGCTATTGTGAGTGTTTACTGAGAATACACATCATGTTATTGCCAATGTGAATTTGTGCTCCAGTCCATTTGGTATGTTTCTACATCTACGCCAAGCTTCCTTCAGCAAACATTTGGAAAAATGAAGCGGAGTGTATTTCAAGTATATATTCAGCTGACAGAAGCTGTCCGTGCACCTTCCAGTAAATCTGCTTTCTTATCGGTTTCTCATTAAATGTAGCACAGTCACCCCTTAACATTTGTGAGGGTTGGGGGTGGAAGATCCCTGTGAATGTGAAATTCCTGAATTATACTTGGGTCAACAAATGCAAAATTAATGGGACGGAAAAGTTTAAAAGTTAATTTTTGTCACAGCGTGTGTGGCTGGTTCCCGAGACCAAGATACACACGGTGCCAAAGCCAGGTTGTGTATATCACACATTTTTTTTCCCAAATGTAAAATATAATAACACTAGTATTTACATATGATTTTATGTGATCCAAATCATTTTCAGTATTGTTTATAAATTTCTGGCTTATGCATCTAAAAATGTTCCCATTTAATTGTCCTTAGCCAGCTCATCAATAACCGAAACCGCAAATGTCAAATTCATAAATCTGGAGGGGCAACTGTAATTGTGGATTTTTAAAGGGAGATCTACATAGTAGGCCGAACCAGCCTACCTGACCCAACAAACTCATTCCCGTTCAGCAGCCGAGTCACTTCCTCCAGGCCGGTCCAGCCCTCACGCTCCAGGACCTTTGGGATACAGTGTGGGTAGAGCCACATCATAATCTCAGCCATGTTAGCGTTAGCGCGACATGAGTGAGTCAACAGTACACCACGAGGGCCTACCTGCTCTATCAATTTACAGCTCAGGGGAATGTAGGCACCACTGAAGATGTATGCCATATCCCGGGGGGTTCGAAGGTCATACTCCTCCATGGTCTTGGGCACCTGTGATCAAGTGGGGGGGGGGGGGGGTTTAATCGTGCCACTAACTATGCACATACGGCTGGTCACCAGAAAAGTCCACTCACCAGTGCGAGCCTTTTACTTAGTGCTCTGAAGTTGCTTTTCTTTGCCAGGGAGGAAAAGGCGTCAGTTAACTTTCCTGGAAAACATTGTCGTTGTACTAAGCGCCAAGTGTTCCTAGCTGAAGAAGCCAGCCATGTCTGTGTAGAGCAAGGACCACGATATACGTGCCGCTAACGCTGGTCAAATGAATGGCATTCCCCATACAGCCCCACCCCTTGCAGCTCGACCCCGTCGCTCACTTCCTCACCTACGGTCTTATCGTTGACCAGTTTGCCCACTTTGCTCTCCATGACAGTGAGGGTCTCCCCCGCCTGCTGCTCCACCAACAGCCCCAGCTGCCTCAGGTTGGCAAACGTTAGTAGGTGTTCAGTGCCGTAACTCTGAAAGCAGGAGCACACAGACGGTATGACATATTCCTCATATTTTCCCTTCAGAATAAGACCTCCCAGTCCTTAATGGATCACACGGACACAGTTAATTTACGGTAAAATGATACTCATGGACATTTCAGGATTTTGAAACTTACTTGGAGATATTGGGCTTTGAGTGATCGGTAGTCTTTGGGCAATAGTCCTGAAAACACATACATGCCCGACTCATTCACAAATATCAGACTCCATTTTGATAAAGTTATGATGGAAACCCGTAACTGAGACTCACCATTTTCAGTGAGGGACAAGAGACACAGAAGTCTCAAACTTTCAATCATGGAGACCTACAACAACAGGGTGGGACAATTAGTCACGAGATGAAAGACAGCAGTGGAATGAAATTATGGACTAACTGCATACACTGAAAACAAACTCACAGCGGCTATAATGAGCCACCTGGCTGTGAGGCTCTCAACCGCACACTGACCTGCCGGTTGATGTGCTCCTCAATGTAGGAGATACATTCCCGTATTTCGAAACCCTCCAGCAATGCTGACATAGGCATGAGTAGAGGAAGGCGAGATTATCCAATCAACATCAACAAATTCAAGTTTATTCTATGCTTATATAATTTGTGCATTTTCTGTACAATCAGAAATTAGACATGCAAAAGCAAGCAAAGGAAGACAAATCTGAAACAAATCCACATGGATCTCTGTAAACTCACAGTGCTCCGTCTTCAGCAGTTCTTGGAAATCCTGCTTAGTTTTTCTCTTCATCATTGACTCACTTGCCCCAATATCTGGAGGGTGAAAAGTAAACCAACTTGTGTTATATACCCTCTAGACCACTGACGATTTCCCATGCCTGCAGGTCGGTAACTGACGCAGACTCAGCAAGTGATGCTCCTGTTTCAACCCTTTGAGCTCCTCGGAGACAAAAGTCTTCATCTGCTTTATGTCCATCCCACGCCGCCTCTGCGCAAACAAGAATGAACAGTAACAGCACTCAGGTTCCCTAACGCTCCACAGGAATGGAAACCCTAACAGAGATTCTTAGAGCCTCAAAAACACTGACCTCCTCATTCACCTAAAAGTAGCTTAGCAAAATCATTCCAACATTATACAGTCAAATGTCTGGACACACCTACTGAAAATCATCGATTTTTCCAACAAGATAACAACCATAAGCATACCTTGAGGTTATGTAATAAATCT